AATAGAACACCTTTCTTTCTCCAGAAGCGGTATGTTGCGTCATCGTTCACACCTTTATTTATTAAATTTCTACCCTGTTTTTCTCGCCAACGTGTTCGTTGCATTGCTAGAGAGGAATATGGATCTGAACCTCTTGGTTAAAAGCAAGGAAGGACAAATCACTCTGTTTTTCCAGTCCATGCCAATTCTGTCTTTCCCAGAAGGTTTCTTTCCATTTCCCATTAATCTGAGAGTTTGTCTTTAAACATCTCAAAATAACGATCACCACCCATCTTCTATACAGCTTCCCCCAAGCCGGTGTAATCCAGATGTGATGGATTACAACTTCTGTAATTCCAGTACTGGTCTTCTTACACCTTCAGGGCAGTTCATCTACCATAGCAAGTCACCAGCTATTTATTAATTTTGATTTATTCATTTACTGTATTTGCATCCGGCCTTTTTTCCTTTTCAGCAACTCAGATTCTCTTGCTCCCCTTAATCTAACCCCATGTGTTAGGCTGGATTGAGGAGCTGTTGCTGCTCCAAACTCTCTCGGTGACCTGCATGGCCGAGTGGGGACTAAAACCCGGATCACCTGAATCCCAGTCCAACAATCCTAACCACAATACCACACTGGCTGTCTTTTGAAGCAGCCCTGTGCCTCTCTCTTTTCAGTACCTATAAACTCTGAATCATTAAGCTGCCCTTATTCACCTAGTAAATATGAACTGACTAGGAAAGACCGCAGACATATTTGTAAAACTATCTTAATGCAACTGCTAAATCTGGGGAAGGGGGTAGCTTGGAATTGCTCCTTAATTTCTTCCTTTTTATAAGCTGGAATTACTTCTTGAGCTGCCCATTTGCATCAACCATCAAGACATTCAGGGCTCAAACCTGTGCAGGTCTCGACAGAAACACCCCGCTTACAATTCCTAGGATTCCTCAGCCAAAACAAGTTTGATTACAGCTGCAGGGGCCTTAATCAGGACTGAGGTTACTTTAGTTTTTTTAAGAACTAGTGGCACTCTCAGGAGCTAAATAGCTATCTGTGTGCATAACCTTGCCCGAACGAATCCAACTGCTGTTGGAATACAAGCATAAGAACTTTCTGAATGCACCAGTGTTTCATTAGTTCTTGAACTAAATTTCCCCCACTCCATCCTGAAAGCTTCAAATCACGCTCCGCTCACGTGGCTGGCCTGAGTCAGCGAATTAACACATTTTCTAACACCCCAAACGTTTTGCTTCCTTTCTCCCTGATTTGTTTTCTTCATCCCAGTTTTTGTTTTCACCTTTGAGAGTGTTCCAATTTGTCGCCCCAGTTGGTGATGTTCCCTTCCTGTTTTCACCTGCTCTCCTACCTTTCTGACCTGTCTTTCTCCCCCACCCACATGCAAGCACATAAACGGCCTTTATGCAATTAACATCAAGTGCCATTTTGTCCACATATCTAAACAATACCCTTCTGCCAGTTTACGTAAGCCGTAGAGACTCCTGTGCAGGCAAGAAGCAGAGATGGATGAAAATGGGACGTTAAACATGAGAATAGTTAGAAATATCCTAAAGCTGCTCTCCTCTGGCAGCATATTCCAACTATATTGGAGAGATACCATTGTTAAGCAGCTAACTTAGGGGGAAAGGGGTTCAGGGGATGCAACTGTGGACACCTATGGCTACAGATCGAAGGAATCTGCTCCAGAGGACTTTGGACCAGCCATGGACTCTTCCGGAGTTGTTGTGAAAACAGAATGGAGAGAAAGAGAACTTTGAAAGCCACTTTGCTGGAGGAAGAAAGATGGGATCTAACGACAATATAGTAATAACAGTATTTGACCGATGTTTAGCCTATTGAATGCCCAATCCTAGCAGCCTTCTCATGGACACAGTTGAAAGCATTCAACGCTCTGGACCATGTCTTTGATAACTACGTTAAAGTTGTTTTGCTTAAAGGCAACGGCAAGCTGTGGTGAGGGGCTGCTAGGGCTCGCAGGGACACAGCCCCGGCACCTTTTCATGTGCAGTGGCCCTGCCCCCACCTGCCACTACTGTCAGAATTCCTGTTTCCTCTAAGCTGAGCCACAAACCACACAAGAAGGGAAGGATTCATTCTCCCACCAGCAAGACGGTGGCCTTTGTGGCAAAGCATTTTGTGAAGGCTCGGTCATGATTCAGATCCACGCGTTTGGCAATGACCTGCTCTTTGCAGGTGAGATTCTGGTTTGGGAAGATGCATCCACACAACACCTTCTGTTCCAGACTCTCCATGCATGTGCAGCTCTAGAAACTGTCTTGATGGGTACCCACAATGCAGAATTTATCCCTGTTGCACTGAGGGGAACTGAGCTGAGCGTACCGAGTTGGAGAAAAAGGGAAACATTTGTTTGCTAAACCCTAAAGCAGTGAGGGGACAGCAAGTGGGCTGAATGTGGTCCCCCAACCTCCAGTGCAGTTCCGACCCTGCCATGTCCCCAAAATTTAGTGGCTTCAGCATAAAGAAAGAAAGCAAGTCAGAGTTCAGTGGGGTAGCAGAAGCCAGGGGCCACACACACAGAGGGGGGATGGGGACAGACGGTGGACCTCAGGTCTCCCCGCAAGCTTGGACAGTAGGCCAGATTGCATGATATTTTGCAGAATATCATCCCACATAAGCCAAATAAAAGGGAAGAGGAGGGGGAGAGAAACGTACGGTCAAAATCCTTCACACTCATACCTGGGATAAGTCTCACCATATACCATGAGGTTTACTTCTCAGCAGACATGCATCAGATGGCAGGGGAATAAGCACCTGAGGTGAAATGATTTTTCCATATTACATAATCAAGAATACTCAAAATCGCCTACTATGATTACTGCTACCGGTAGTAACATTAAAGCACAGTCTAACTGTGAGGGTGTAATCCTAGGCCAGGTTCAGATAGAATAAAACCTTGCAGTTCTCAGCATTCCTCAGCTTTCATGGCTGGCAGGAGGATTTAGACCTGTTAGGGCTTTTTGAGGTGCGATTCTATACAAGTTCAGAAAGAAAAAGTCCCACTGGCTGGGGAACGCTAGAAGCTGTAGGGCATTGCTCCATCTCAACAGGAATAGCATTGAACCCTGAGAGTTGTAAATTCATTTCTGGCCACTCCGGTTCCCTTCATCAGCTCTTCTGAAATTCTACAAGAGGTGTGATTCAACACAAAGCGACTTTGATAAAAACATGAAATGAGCAAATGGCAAACCGCTCTGCTCAAAACTGCCTATAAAAAGTCAGAGAAGGACATTTGACATTTCAAACAGCACATTTCCTAAATCTTGACTCCAGCACCGCAGAGTCCCACATTTACACTCTGTCTGGATCGCCTGCTGCAAATTTGGTTTGGTTCTTGATACTTAGAGATGTCAATAAGTATCTCCCCCAACACCAGACAGATTATTGGAAAATCGGAATTTCTGCCTTCCCCAAAGCTGGTCAGAGAGGCTGTCAGTTCTGTCTATGATCTGGATGCAAGGAAAACAAACGCCAAGATGGTGCGAAACACGAACACAGGTCTCTCTGCACTAGAGGCCAATCAGCATCTCTTTTATCTGGGTCCAGTGGGGAATGGTGCTCAGGAAGAGGTGTATGGTGCACAGAAGCCTCTGCGTGGGACCAGCCCTCCCATCCGGGCAGATGCTGGAGGTGGCAGCCAGGTGATGGAGGAGAAACCGGCAACGTTCCCTGTGCCCTCTAAGCTCACCTGCTTTGGCCAGGTGTGACAGAAGGTGCTGCCCCGTTGCCAACCTGGAGGAAAGAGCCAGCCCCCAGTCCACCCTGTTACACAGACCAGCCGGGGCTGCCGTCTTCTCGCGCGCGTCAGGCGGCGAATTGTGCGGGCCACCAGCCAGGTTCTAGTCTCTGCCGGAGCCAAGGGGCAGGTGTGCAGGTTCGAGGTACAGGGCTCAGCCGCAAAAGCAGGCAATCCTCTTTCGCTTGGGCTCTTTGACCAACTGACCTGGAGAGAGTTCTGCAGTGCCCACCTGGCATCACGGGTGGAAAGAGCTGCTGTTTGCCGGAGCTGCGCAAGGACACAAAGATTTCTCCTTACTTCACACACCCGAGACTTGATATACAACACAGAAAGGACTATGGAGAAGGAGTGGAGGTTCCTTTGCCCACCAAAGATCTCCCTCCAATTATAAAAAGCCAGCGGGGCGTTTCAGTGAAAGGTTGGACTGGGACTCAGGAGGTCTGGATTCCAATCCTCACCAGGCTCTGAGACTCACCGGGGGACCTAATTCTACCCTCCCTTACAGGGCTGTTGTGAGAACCAGTGTGGCACCGTGGTCAGGAAATTGAACTAGGGCCAGAGTGACCTAGATTCCAGTCCTGACATAGTCATGAAGGTGGTTTTGGGCCAGTCACAGACTCTCATTCTCGCCTACCTGGCAAGATTGTTGCAAAAGGTAGTATGGCATAGCAGCTACAGCGTGATGCTGGGACTCGAGAGATCTGGATTCGAGTCCCCACCAAGCGTGAGGCCCTCTGGGTGACCAGTCTCTGCCTCTCAGCCTAACCTACCTCACAGGGCTGTTAGGAAGATAAAACAGCCCCTGTTAGTCCCCTTCGGCTCCCAGCAGGAGAGAGATATCCTAAAATAAGTAATGCATATTTAAACCTTAGCCTGACTTTTTACCCAGACGTGGCAGCCCCCCGTATACCTGGATCCGAAGCCTGCTTCCAGAGCAGAAAACCCCCTCCAGTGCTGCAGGGCTCACTCCCCGGCCGCCCGAAAGCAGGACTCCTGCGGGTGGCATCGCGCCAGCGTCCCCACCACCCGCCGCTTTCCGTGGTCGACTCAGCCGGTGGCCCGGGCGCCCGGCTCCTGCGCGCCTGCTCGCGAGGAGGCAGGCCCTGCGCCGCCCTCTCCGAACCCGCGGGGGCTTCCTCTCCTCCGGACGTGCTCACGGGACCGGGCGGCCCGGGCCAGGGGCTGCGGGATCCGGGGCGTCTCGCGGCTGGCTCGCCCCCCGTCCCCGGGCCCGGGCGCACGGCCTCACTTGCCCCGCTTGGCGGCGGACGCAGCGGCGGACGCGGCGGGCGGGAGGTTTTCGGTCAGGTAGGCGACCAGGAGGCAGATGAGGACCAGCATGACGCAGATGGAGCCCCCGACGGCCGTCATGGCCACGACGATGTCCCGCATGCCGGCCGGCTCCACGGTGAACTCCACGCACTCCGGCGGCCAGGCGGGGCGCGGATCGGGGCCGCTGGCGTTGGCGGCCGCCGCGAAGAGCGGCCGCAAGCACAGGCGGTAGCGCACGCTGCCGTGCGCGTCGGGAAGCAGGTAGTCCCGGCAGGCGGCGCCCAGCTGGACGCTGTCGCACTGGAAACGCGTGTAGGCGCCTTCCCACGAGCAGGAGAGCCAGAAGCCGCGCGGCGGCGGGGCGGGGGCGGCGGGGCCGGGGCCGGCGGGCCCGGGGCCCGGCGGCGGGGGCCAGTCCCACTGCAGCAGCACGCTGCCGTTGCCCAGCACGTTGGCCAGCAGGGCGCGCCCGGGCGAGCGGTGCGCCGTGCAGCTGCGGGGCGCGCAGCGGAAGCCGCGCGCAGGGCTGCGGAAGCACAGGCGCCCCCCGCCGCCGCCCGCCCCGCCGCGGCCCTCGCCCAGCACCTTGTAGGGGCACCACGGCTCGGCCGGGGGCTG